TTAATGAACTGAATAAGTTGAAAGATGGAGGAGACGAGGATGCAGGATGCAGGTGTGAGTTTTATTGTCTATGGTGAAGGCAGTGAGGGCAAAACAGAAACAAAGGAAAAGTAAAACCAGAAAAGTACCAGAGAAAGTAAAAGAACATTTCCTTAAAACACATGTATCTTGCAATTATGCATGTAATTCTTTGGATATTGTGTCTTGTGATGTATATGGTGTGTTTGAGTGATGTTAGTTCTCTTCATGGACCTCGTGGTGAGAGTGACATAATGGTTTCTGTGTGTGATTAGAACTTGTTTATGTCCCAGCAGACGTTACAATGCAGTGTAGTTTTACATGCTAGCTATGATAGCTATTCAATCACTGTTGGTCTGCATGTGCTGTAGATCAGTAGGGGTGAGACCAGTATCCACAGCAACGGGAAAACAGGAAGGGAGGTCAGCATGTAAACTGAACACAGTGTAGCTGAGAGTAGAGAAAAACCTTCACATGCTGCTCTGCTAACACTGTAATCTGTGATCAGTCACTCTGTACAGAACTGACTCTGTGTGTTTTTCCTTTCTTTGCCGAGTTGAACAGCTGCCCATCCTGTGCGTCTGATGCTGCTGCCTCTCTGCCTTGATTGGGTGCCACTGCTCGCCAGCCCACTTACCACCATTGAGCTTCATGCTGTACAAAGCTGTGCAAACCTCACCCTCATGAACTGACCCTCCCAATGATGCTGCAAAAACTAATCTAATTATTGCTCCACCTGTTTTCCCTGTTTTTGTACTATAATACTTTATACTAGCAATGTTTACTATCCGGTGTCGACCAGAGGAGGATGGGTTCCCCTTCTGAGTCTTGGTTCCTCTCAGTGTTTCTTCCTCCTGTTGAGGGAGTTTTTCCTTGCCACTGCCGCCACTGGCGACACTCATGGGGGCTTGGACCCAGACATTTATTTATTTATTTTTGTAAGGCAGATTTTTCTGTAAAGCTGCTTTGTGACAACACCTGTTGTACAAAGAGCTATATAAATAAACTTTGCTTGCTTGCTCGCTCTCTCTCTTTCTCTCCTCTCCTGGTCAGTACTGATGGTGTGTGTGTGTCTGTAGGTCAGTTCTGTTCTCTCTTTCTCTCTTCTCTCTCTCCTCTCCTGGTCAGTACTGATGGTGTGTGTGTGTCTGTAGGTCAGTTCTGTTCTCTCTTTCTCTCTTCTCTCTCTTCTCTCCTGGTCAGTACTGATGGTGTGTGTGTGTGTCTGTAGGTCAGTTCTGTTCTCTCTTTCTCTCTTCTCTCTCTCCTCTCCTGGTCAGTACTGATGGTGTGTGTGTGTCTGTAGGTCAGTTCTGTTCTCTCTTTCTCTCTTCAAGCTGAAGGGATTAAACTTGTTATGGATCAGAATGTGTTAAATTTGATCCCCCTCATTGAAAAAAAGGAAAAACAACCCACACAGTTACAAAGAGATCTATCTATCAAAGGTAGACTTCTACTTTTAAAAGATAGTTACTTATGCTGTTTTATGAGGTCGATAAGGTGCTGCTGAAAAAACTGACAACATGCTATCATTTTATGGAAAATAAAACACACTTTATCAGGAAATCTGTAAAGAAGAGCACACATCATTAGATTATCTGCCCTACAGCACCCTAAAAAATACATTTCAGTCATGGGGTCTCCACCTTGAGTAGACCCTTTGGACTGGCCCACCCCGGAATGGCTCATTCCAGCTCTTGCTTCTCTCTGTCTGCACTTTCCATAACTACCCACAGCCGCTGCTCAATTCCTGGACACATACATATACCCCTTCATTTAGCCATGGCCACGGTCTCCTGAGCCTTTGTGCTGTTTCCCGTGTTCTGACCCTGCTTTTTGATCTGCCTCCGATTTTGCCAGCCTGTGTTTTGACCCCTGCCTTTTCTGACTCTGATTGTTGGACTGCCCTTAATAAAGCCACTCTGTGCATACAACCTGCCTCAAGCAGTACAATTTTCAATAAATTGGCTTTCAAACAGTAAAAATATTTAATTATCGCTATGGATTATTATTCCAAAATGCCATTTTCCCCCTAATATTCGTGGCCTAGACTCTTGGAAGAAATATAAAATTCCTAAACCTGTTAAGGAATATGCATCTGTATTTGACGCTATTCCAGCTGGAGTGACTTGTTGCTGAGGGGTGTTCATTTTTGTGTCCATTTGATCAATCCTTTGATTTAATGGATTCTTTTGTTGGCAGTGTGTGCTTTTCTGTAGAGCAGCAATGTAACTAGAAAATTAGAGCGTTATTCTACAAAGATAGTGGGCTTCATTTACAAACATCTTCCTAAGTTTTGTGTAGATTCTGTTCTTATCTGAGAACAAATCCCAAATAAGAGAACATTGGTGTATGATAAAGTCTTCATCAAAACTGCATAAGTTGGTTTAAGAAGAAATTTCTTCTTAAGAATGGCCGGTGAATGAGGCCCAATGTTATGATTCTTTATGTGATGCCATACTGGGATGGTATGGTAGAGAACATACTTTTGGTGAACAGTGTGGTCTTTACCTCTTAGGCACAGACTTTCCACCAATGTGTGAGAAGTTACACTAAAACTAATCTACAGATTATATCCAGCAAAAACAGCAAGGCTGATATTGAAACTGACTGCTTTTTCTGTCAAAATGCAGTCAGTAGAGGGCTGTCATTCATTTTTCATGCTGCAGATCAGTAGCACCGTTCATAGGACAAGAAGAAGAGGAAGTTTTGGTGGTGCTCGGTGTTGGTTTCTGATCCGTATTGGAGTGAATGTGTGCTGAATCTGATTCAGCACAGCTCTCAGATGTTCCTCTCCTGCTGGAAACCGCCCACAGCAGTACAGTGAGTGTTTAAATCAGCACATTTGGTCAGCTGTGTTATGTAGAGCTGTGATTCACAGCCTGCCTGTTTAGATAAACACTGCTAAGCTACTCAGCTCATCTTGAGGAGCCCCATCTATATAAGCACACACAGGCCAAAATAACAGAGGAGGCTAGCGGTACTGAAAGAGGGAGTGAAGTGAGTAAGGAGAAGAGCCGCACTGCACAACAGAACAGCTGCAGCTCTGATAACTTGTGTCACTTCTGTCAAAGGCATGAGGTGTCTGTGGTGTGAAACTGGACCTTTAATTACAGAAGACAAGCCTGAGTTCATGCAGGGCTCAGAGAGCTGTACATTACTCTGTGTTCAGATTAAACTCGATTAAGTAGCTGCGGGCCTCATTGTGTATCGTGTTAGCCTCACTGAACTTTCACTTTCACTTTAGCATCCAGGTTGTGGCTTTTCAGTTATGCACTGGTATGTGGCAACAATGGCATCTTAGCTGGCATTTAATGATTCAAATAATGCCAGACACTGTGGCTAATGGTGAATCCAACAAGCGGGCACTGGCTAAATTAGCTGGGTGGCTATTTTGGTTGCTACCTAGATTAATTTACTGGATAACTTATTATAATTTACAGAAAATGCTAAGATTCGGGATTACAGATACTTGCATATATATATATATATATATATATATATATATATATATATATATATATATATATATATATATATATATACATAAAACAGAAATTCACAGGGTGTGTCCCAATACCTAGTAAGCTCTCTTACTAGCTACTGTCTACATAGGGAACTGTTTAACTACACTCTTACAAAAGATGTTTCTTAAAGGGTTCTTTAGTAAAGAAAATGGTTCTCTATAGGAACGAGCACTCACAGAACCCTTTGTATGATTATATAGAACCTTTTTCAAAAGGGTTCTATAAAGCACTAAGAAGGGTTCTTCTGTTGTTACAATGTCAAGCTGGTAGCCATAGCAGAACCCTTTTTGTGCACTATAAAACAGTTTCTTTGCTACAGAACCATTGAAAGAACCATCAGTTTGTGCTTGTTCCCGCCCACTGCACAAGACTGGTGTTTACCTCAGCCGACAGAACCACCTCAGCATTTACCACCACAGATCCTGCTCTTTCGGTTCATAGAGATGATATTAAGATTTGAATTGTATTTGCTCTAAATGACACAGCACATACTGAAATCTGAGAGCTACTTGTTGCTCTTGAACAGTTCAAATCACTGGGGGCAAAATCAACATTAAACCCTTTCTCCACTTCATACAAAGTTTATTAATCTTCTAGCTGCCATTAAAAAAAATATATATTTAAATAGAACACACATATTAATGCATACATCAAATTAAAATCTACATACACCACACACCTGTGGATAACCTGCATTAACCAAACAGAACAATGAATAAATATACAGTTAAATACAGTCATTCACTAGCAGTCAAACTATTTACTCAGCTATGTGCAATAATATTATTACAGTAATTAAGTATTTCAGTAATTAATTAATTTACAATGAATTTAAATAAATATTCATATACATGCACACGGACCAGCCACTTCACTTGGTCCACCTCCTTGTTTCCACACTCACTGTCCATCCTATCAGCTCCACTGACCGTATAGTTCACTCTGTAGCTCAAAGCAGTCATCGGGGCCCAGGGGTGGACACATGCCACAGTGACATTCTCTTCTTCCCTTGCATGTGGACGTCAAAAATGTACTTTCAATATATAAACATTTTTGCAGCTTTTATTCTAGCAAATTGTCTACTGAACTTTATGGAAAATTTGATATTTGTAATAATACTAATAAGCAGAAGAGATGTATACAGCTTAATGTATGTATAACCTTGTTACTTTGTCTTGTTACTTACTATTATTATTTTTTATATTAACATGTTTTTGCTGGTATGTGGTTTTTTTGTTCTCTGTTTACAAGCTGCAAGGGAATCGGATGAGAAGAGAGTGTATCCTAACGAACTTCAAAGGGACCATAAAATATTGATAAAATTAGCATTCTTGACAGTGTGTGTTCAAGATTCAATCTTACGGGTTGTAAACCAAAAACTGTGTGTGTGTGTGTGTGTGTGTGTGTATGTGTGTGTGTGTGTGTGTGTGTGTGTGTGTGTCTGTAGGTCAGTCATGCAGTCGTGCAGTTCTGCTCTCTGTATCCTGATCTTACTGACCAATACAGTCACTACTGGTAAGAACTGCACTGACACTACTTTATCTTCTTATTAAAGACTTCACTGTGTTTTACTTTCTGAGACAGAACTACTTAACATTATATATATGCATTTGGAAAGCCTTCAGAGCCTTTCACTTTTTCACATTTTGGGGCCTCACGTAAAATTAAAAAAAAAAAAAATCTACAGCTTGATTTGAGTCCTCCTAAGATATATTCAGTTGACTGGACATGATTAGGAAAGACACACACCTATCTATATAAGGTCTCCCAGCTGACAATGCATATCAGAGCAAAAACCAAGCCATGAGGAGGAAAGAACTGCCTGTAGAGCTCAGAGGCAGGACTTTGTGGAGGCTCAGATCTGGAAACGGTTACAAAACATTTCTGCTGCACTGAAAGTTCCCTGTCCGCCCCACCAAACTAAGTAATCTCAGGAGAAAGGCCTTGGTAAGAGGGGTGATCAAGAACCCAATGGTCACTCTGGCTGAGCTCCAAAGATCCTGTGTGCAGATGGGAGAAACTTCCAGGAGGTCAACCATCACTGCAGCACTCCACCAATCTGAGCTTTATGGCAGAATGACTAGACAGAAGCCTCTCCTCAGTAAAAGACACATGAAAGCCTGTCTGGAGTTTGCAAAAAAGGACCTAAAGGACTCTCCAACTGTGAGACACAAGATTCTCTGGTTTGATGAAACCAAGATTGAACTTTTTGGCCTCAATTCTAAGCATCATATCTTGAGAAAACCAGGTGATGCACATGCAAGGTGGGACCTCGGACTGGGCTGAAGGTTCACCTTGCAACAAGACAATGAGCCTAAGCACACAGCCAAGACAACACATGAGTGGCTTAGGGATGACTCTGCAAATGTCCTTGAGACGCCATGCCAGAGCCCTGACTTGAACCCAATCAAACGTCTCTGGAAACAACCTGACAGAGCTCGAGAGGATCTGCAGAGAAGAATGGCAGAGCATCCCCAAAACCAGGTGTGGCATACCTGAATTTGCCACAATCCAGTGGCATCAAACAAAAGAAGACTGGAGGCTGTAATCAAAAGTGTTTCGACTAGGTACTGAGAAAAGGGCCTGAATACTTATGGCAGTGCAATATTTTAGTTTTTCCTTTTCAATAAATTTGCAAAAAATTCTAATATTCTGTTTTCACTTTGTCATTATGGGGTACTGCATTGTATAATTAAGTATAACTTATTTAAATTCCACATGTCTATACTTAGAGATTATATGAAATCTGAAGTCTGAGTTGGAAGTGTAGAATGGTCCAGAATGTCTTGTTCTGCTGAAGCATTAAGGTTCCCTTCACTGGAACTAAGGGTTCTAGACCAACCCCTGAAAAACAGCCCCATATCATCATCCCTCCTCCACCAAACTCTACAGCTGGCACAGTGCAGTCAGGCAGGTAACGTTCTCCTGGCATTTGCCAAACCCAGACTCGTCCATCAGACTGACAGATAGATGTGTGATGCATCAGTAGTAGTGAAGTGACAGTGAAGCTGACTTTGACTTTGAACCTCCTTGTGAAATGTTCCTTTGTCTTATTCCCTCTTTCAGTGGCCAATGCAAGTTTTACTACAGTGAAGGTGGATCTTCATGACTCTGCTACTCTGCCCTGCTCTGAGAGATGCTCTGGTTTGGTCAGATGGACTGTGCACCATAAACCCACTGATGTTCTGGCTGAGTGTGATCAGACTTCATGTAGATCAGTGAAGGAGGGATATCAGATGATCCATGATCAGTACCTGAAGGGAGATCACTCTCTCATCATCGCTGATGCCGATTTCAGAAAAAGGGATGTGTACACGTGTGAGTGTGATGGTACAGATCTCTGTGATGTGGCTCTAAAGATTGAGCGTAAGTATTTTCTTCACTCATCATTACTGATAGAACTCCAGTGATTTAGATGCAGTGATTGATATCAGATGTTGCTGAAGTTTCTGATTCTTTTTCTCCTCAGCTTTGAACACTACAGTACAGATAAAGTCCAATCAATCTCTGATGCTAAATTTGGACATATCAAAACAAGTGGAGGTAATTTATAACATCACAAATACAGCTGGACCATCCAGTGGTCAGATCTGTACAGTGGATGGACGCTCCCTGCAGTGCAGACCAGAATATAAACAGAGAGTGTTGGTTATCTCGGCTCTTGAGCTGAGTGCAGTGACTCCATCTGATAGTGGAGTTTATACAATAATAGAGTCCAGGAACAAAGAGGTCATTCACACCTACACAGTGACTGTCCAAGGTAGGAATTCTTTAACTCCTTTAACCTGAAGATAACTTTTTAAACTATTTAGATTATTAAGAAAATCACTCAGAAATATTCGCTACTAGTGACCGATCAAAATGAAAATTCATAACCGAAACCACATTCAGAACACCAAGGTCAAAAACCAGAAGAAATTAGTTCTTACACATAATTTGCTGTTTATTTATGTTTTTGGATTAACGCAAGTGTGACTGGCACAAAAGTGAAGGACATCTATTGTTTTACTTTTCAAAGGCCAAAATTTCCGTCCCTAGTAACTACTGTAAAGCTAATATGGATGTAATGTAGCTATGCAACTGAGGAATGCTGCATCTTGGTACCACAGCTGGTAATATATTTTCACCTTAATATGGTGGCAGTACCTTAAACCAAAAAGGTACGCTTAAGTATCCTAAACATAAAAGTTAAAATATGTTGTGGCAAAAAATTCTACCAGTTGTCTTTTGTATTATGCTTTAGGTTGTGATGTCAGATGGTTGCGCGAGAGCCTTTCAGCCTTTTCAGTTTGACCCAGAGACATAACCCAAGAACAAAACACTGCTGAACACTATATTAGTGATCATCAAATAGATTTAATCAAATAACTAAAAATGAATGGTGTCTGTACAGAGAGTACACACTGTAAAAAGCTCCACTCTTGTATGTGAGGAAGTAAAACCCATAGCCTTCATACCAGCAACACACAATGAGCAACTGCAACACCACCAGAATGATAAAGTCAAACAAATGATAAAGTCAAATTTGCCCTTGGGGTTTATTGCTGTGAATTGTATGGTGGAGGTTTCTAGCTGGTGTAGCTTCAGGAATCCACACTGGCTGGGAAACCAAGCATACATACACATGTAGATTCAGTAGGTTAACCTATATGATCTCTTTTAAACAGGTAGTAGCTCAATGCTCAAACGTTATCAACACAAACTTTACCTTTTACACCATGTAATACATAGTTATACAGAATCTGATGGTTAATAAAACCATTTGCACACTTCTATGAACTCATTCACTACAATAGAGGACTTCAGTCCTGTCTGACCCACCACAACATCTTGTGGCAAGGGGTTATTTTTCAATGTCATTTGTGGGAGTGGCCAGTCGATGAGTGCAGTGTGGCTGGGTGCGGCATAACACGTATGTTTAGTCTAAATAGTCTAAATAAAATAACAGCTATTTAATGATAAGTAACTTAATAATTGTCATACAAAATAAATATCTAAAAGCAAAATATCAAAAAGTAAAACTCATTCTTAGAAGTTCTAAACTTGCTCTAAATAGAAGCAACCAATCACATGAACAATCGTGTGAATTGGCTAAAGAAATAGCACCTTCAGATAGTCAGACACAGCTGTGGAAAGGGTGCTTAATAAAGTTGAATACAGTCAAATAAACGCAAGTCAGACCTACCGCAATCATTTTCACTCGTGACTAATGCAGATGAATACTAGTTATACAGGACAGCAGGCGGGAGCGGGACAAAATGTTAAGGTTCTGGGTGGGAATGGGTCAAACAGATTTTCTGCATAAGCAGGATGAAGTCTTGTGGGATCAAGACTTAAAGATCTGTCCTGTGCAGACTTCTACACTATAATTCACTGCAGTTTCATTCAGTCTGTGGTTCATAGCCTGCTTTTCTTGATTTTGCACTGAACTCAGTGAATATGTGGGCAGATGTACCCGGCATAGGGATCTGCACAGCTACAGATCTGGGAAAATCAGGGCAGATAAGAACAGAAGTCTCATTCAGTTCAGACGTTGCCCCAAAAAGCTGCACAACATGGAACTGTATTTTGTATTTACTCATATTTTGAATCACATCTGTTGGCCAAATCGACTGTATTTACCTCCAGTGCAACCATTGACATTTTATCGGCTCTTGTTCAGTTTTGGTTGTGAAAATCAATCAAGTCTCTGATCACTGCGGAGCTGCAGTAGATGTGAGGGCTAAATCTTGATTCAGTTCTCACACTACCAGATCATTCACACTGTCAATCACTTCCAATCAAGCCTCTGAAAATCACTCCAGATTGTCAAAAATTTACTGGAAGGGGAGAATCAAGCTGGAATTGTGCAGTGTGGGCCCAGTTGTAGTTTAAGTGTCCTGTATTACAAATCTGTGTGTGTGTTTGTTTTATAGATGACCAGACGGACCTGGAGAGATTTAAAGGAGCTGCTGTACCAGTGTGGATTTTTGTACCGGTGGTGGTCACATGCATAGTTGTGAATGCGATATTGGCTGCAGTGATTGTGCAGCTGAGGAGAAAGAATCAAGGTATCATCGCCTGATGATGGATGACCAGGTCGTCTGAGAGGTCATTGCCAACCAAGCGCTCTCTCACCTAAGTTCTTTTGCTCTTTTTCTCAACCATAGTGTGTGTGTGAAAGAGAGAGAGAGAGAGAGAGAGAGAGAGAGAGAGAGAGAGATGGGGGAGATGGGGGGGGTTAGGGGGTTATATTGATCAGTCCTACACTGCATTAAGAATTGTTATTCTGTAGGTCTCTAGTGTTGATACTTTATTATCTCTTCATTTACAAATAATTTTTTGTTTTTGCACTTGCACTGTCAAAGTCTGTAAAGCACTACTGCCAAGATGTTGCTGTAGTTCAGAATGCTTGTTCTTAGTCTAGAAAAAAAGTGTGCCATGAAATCTGTACTGTTACTGTAGTTTGAACTATGATCTTTGTGATATGTTCATTCAGATTAACTAGCACAAGATTGTGTATCATTTCCTTACATGCAAACTTCTGACTCTGTTGTTGCACCTCTTAATCGTAATTGTACGCCCCAGAGAAGTATGTGAAGCTGGCAACTACGATCACTTTGGGTCGTGATTGCTTGACTCTCTTCATAATAAAAGACTTGCCCTTGTGAAGAGAACTGCCGCTTGACCACGGGTTAGGTTGGTCAGATACTAATGATTATTAACCTTATTTGTACCATTCACCTCCATTCAATAAGGGTTCGCTTGCCTTTTTACTTTCATGTTCACAATCTGTAATACATCTACAATTTAGATTTTACAAGTAAGGTAAGGATTTCATGGCACACTGTACGATTGCGGTAGCAGTGCAACAATACAGGCAAAAATTTGCATGTAGCAAACTTGTGCAAGCTGATCTGAATGAATGAAAAGCACAAAATGTAGGCAAAATGGAAATTTGCACATCTGAAAATGAAACTAAATGCATTAAGAGTCCAAAATTGTTTGTGGAACTCGCTTTTAATATTTGCACTAAATTCAAAACCTGAGGTACGTCTTTAAATCATAATTCACGAATACAATATGTTTGGCTTAAATCTAACCCCATAAAAAAACACAAGTAAAAAAGCTGTTTACTGTATCCCAGGAGTTCTTTGCCTTTTTCTGAGTGTGCCCCTTTTTTGGGGGTATAAAAATATTTCGGCGTTTCAGTGTTGCAGCTATAACTGAACTGTAAAGCCATATCAGCCAAATGGTGGTACTGATGTTATAAGTATTTCCATTAGCTTAGTTGGGTTCATCTGCCGATCGGAAGTTCAGCGCTACAGGAGAACTGGATGAGAATGAAGAGGAGTAACCACTGAAGTAGTGTTGGGCAGTATGACGGTAATATGGTATACTGTGTTCTGTAGAAATGATCATGTAAGAGATGTAGCTCGCAAGCATTGGTCTTCCATACACACAGCGTTTGTGCTGCAGAGCAGAGCATCGAAAAGTAATAGACAGAAAGTAACTTTACAGGTTGAAGCCAAAAACCTTGATTTTCAGCGTTAGTGAATGTAAAGTTATTTTATCACAAATAATTGTGCACCATTTCTGTTGGTGCAATCATCATGAATTTCTTACACAGTGTGAAAGACGGCTGGTGGTTTCAAATAATGTCGAAAAATCAAATCAAATCAAAACAAGGTTTTGTTCTATTGATCTTATAATGGGATACATTACATTGTAATAAATTGTACTTTTTTCATATTGTGTTTTCATGTGTGTATGTATTTGATTCCCTTGAGTACACAAAGCAGTTATCTACATCATTCACAGTGCCCAGCAGAGACGGTAGAAGGACAGTTAAACACTTCGTAGATTCAGATGAATCAGTCCGTAAGTGAAGTAGTTGATCAGATTGATCAGATTCAGCACTGAAGCCTTCTGATTACAGGCGACTACAGGCAGCTACTGAGTCTTCACCACCTTCAGTTTTACAGTCTCAGAGAAGTGAAGAAAGTGTTTCTAATCTCTATTAAAGAGTTAAAGTTCTGATGTTCCTCTAGATCAGTGTGTGTTAATCAGCTCTGCACAGGTTCACTGTTCCTCAGGTCAGATCATCTTCTGACTGTGGAGCTCTTCATCAGCTGGATCAGGTGTGTTTGGTCAGAGAACAGGGAGACTGCAGAGCTGAGGTTCTCCAGCAGCACATTCAGAAACACTAGTCTAGAACATTGTTTCCAGCACTGCTTCTGTACTACAGCCATTCTGGAATCCAGTAAGAAACTCTGTTACTGTCATGTGGAAACCTCATATCTCAGTGTTATTAGACACTGCAACAGTGTAGTATCTGCTACATCACCCAGTGAATGAGTTAAATATTCTGATTTATGGTGATATAATTTGGCATAAACTATGACCAGGCAGAACCGGTGTGCAGTGGTATTTGCAGGGATTCAGTGGGTGACGGCAAAGGGGGACAGCAACTTCAGCCCTCAGTAAAGTAAAAATTCACTGATTTTCAAAACTCCGCCATAATTCAGTGTGTGAGGTGTGAACAGAGTAGTTTAGAGTGGTTTGGTGTGAAATGGTTCAGATGTCTTTACAGTGGTGGTGATAGGAACCAGGGGTCGCCATGACTACAACACAAATATAGACATTTTATTTACTGTCCAGAACCACCAGTGAACCTACACGAGTCTTCTGAGTCTATATGGAATGTTGATGATGAAAATAGTGGAAAATCTGAAATAATAAGTTTTAACCTGCATGTATCCCTCCACCATAAGTGGACGTCTTGGCAAAGGAGATGCAGGAAATATAGGTTTCTATTACAGTCCAAAGAAAGTAAGATTGAGTTGTAAAGCACTAATCACATTGCGTACAGCCACTTTAGTGACGTTACTGCTCTCAAACAACAATACTAAATGGAAGGAGAAGTCCAGGCTTTCAGTTCCACAGAGAGAGAGAGGGAGAGAGGAGAGAACTGCAGAAGGACAGAGTTCTGTATTTCCCAAGGTCAGTTTTTTTTATCATTACACTCAGAGATAAACCACAATGCTGGTGGATATGGAATAGTGGTGTTCAGTTAACAGCAGAGAAAGAGTTTATGTTATGCTGGAGTTCAGTGCTTCACTTTGACAGCTTGTAAGAGTCAGTAAATAAACCAAAACTGCTGTAAAATGATATAAACTGTATGATCTGTCTACCAAACCAAGACAGCAGCTTAATCATCTATAACTTTGTGTTGTTTTGGTAAATTCTCTGATTTGAGGTGATACAGAGAGTCAAATCTATCAGTACTGATTAACTTTATCTGAATTCATTTACTGGTACAGACTGTATAATTAAATATTAAACTAATATTTAAATATTAATCCTAATAGAAATATGAAAGTGGGTGATGAAAATTTATTTTTGAATTGTTTTTCATTATTTATGCCCTATATGAGTGCAACTGATAGTAAGTGTTATGTAACACTATATGTTTCTGTCACTGTTTAAAATATTTCTGCCAGTATTTGTTATTTTTTTCTCTGTCAGCTGATAAATTGAGATAGATATTGATCAGAGCTCAATGAATGATCAGAAATCTCTGCTTGTATATTAAGTTGTGCTGTTTGTGAGTGTGCAGCTTGCACTAAAGTCAAACTTCTGTGACAGCAGCGCTTTACAAGATGCACTTCACTGTATTAAACTTAACGCTGAATACATAAGACACCTTCTGTCAGTTCTCAACAGTCTTCTAGTAAATATG